AACCCCAAGGGGTCCCATACGTTCGGGCGTTCGGGTTCGGGGGTTCGGCCCGTCCCGAACGCCAGTTACCCTGTATGTATATATATATATATATATGACGATAACGGAGAGAGAGGGATTCGAACCCTCGGTAGTTTGTAGAACTACACCGGTTTTCAAGACCGGGGCTATTAACCGCTCTGCCATCTGTGACGATATATATATATATATATATATATATATATATATATATATGTATATATAATATATATATAACAATATATATATATATATATATATATATACAGGGTTTCCAGCCCATACGTACGGAGGTCCCGGGGCAGACCTCCGTACATACAGGCGTTCGGGGTCCCGTACGGGGTCCGAACCCGACCTCATTCGGCCCCCGCAAAACATTATTTCGGGGCCTAAACATAATTATATTTTTCCGAATTTTTGTTTGTGAGTTCTCTATGACGTGAGGTACAGGCCTGTCAATTTTCAAGTCATTTGGCTAAGCCAAATAAGAATTAAAAATGGTCAAAGATGACATTGTTAAAACGTGCTCGCCCACGTATTTTTTCACTTTTTACTTTTTGTTTTCACTTTAGTTCGGGATCTAAACAATTTTATTATTTTTTGAATTCTTTTTAGTAGGTTTTGCATTATGTGAAGTACACATCTGTAAATTTTCAGGGCATTTAGCTAAACCAAAACAAAATTTAAAATCGCCGAAGATGGCGGGTCGAAAACATGCTCACGCACTCACTAAATTTAATTCTCTTCTTCTTTATATTTATTTTTATTATTAGTACTTGTTTTCCGTATTTTATTTTTATTTCAAATTTGGTAAGGAATTCGGATGTAATGCTCAGACAAATCTTGTTTAATTTATTTTTCTCCATAACATATCTTTTTTTTAGATTTGTTTGATGACATTGTTTTTTTTTTTTTTTTTTTTTTTGGGTCCGCGTTCAGCCCGAACGACCGAACGTCTTCCCAAGGGGTCCCATACGTTCGGGTGTTCGGGTTCGGGCGTTCGGCCCGTCCCGAACGCCGCTT